TCCAGTGTCAAGTTGTTTTTATTAGAAACACTCGGAACACCAACTGACTGCCAGCATTGGAAGATTGTTGGAAGCCGAAAATGGCAGTGGCGATTTGTATCCAAAATCCTGTGCCATACAGGGCACAGCTTTCTCGGTGAAAATCGCATTCCAGCTAATCAGCTAGTCGACATCCTGACCCTGCTTGATCTCACACATGACGCATTGGCCGTTGTAGCGCAACTTCTCAGGGAGCCCTGCCAACATCGGATGATCTTTTGACACCTTGTCCAATTTGTCCACCACAAGATCCACCTGCTGTGCCTGAGCGCGATGAGGCGATTGGATATGGCTGGAACGAAGTACATCGACAACGTCGACAACAGCTCATGCTTTCAGCACCTTGGCTCAAAATAATATCAAAGGATCGGACTCCATTTTCATGCTTTGAGTCTAGGTACCATGAGGTGAGCGCACATGATCGCGCAAGCCATCTCAAACTGCCAATAGGGGCCATCTTTTTCTGAGTCAGCATAAAAAGAGAAGCACCAGGACGTGTCTTTCCCATCGGCTGTGATGTCCTTGGGAGCCTTCGTGATACAACTTTGCCTACTGTAGTAGGGGTCGATGGTGCAATGCAACATCTGAAAATTCAAAAGGTATTTCACTTTCTTCTTGAATTGGTTGCCCGCATCCTCAGTAGTGAATTTGTAAACATAATCCTGGATTGCCTCATACAACTCTTGATCGTAAAGTTTGTCATCGTCTTCCCACTGGCTGGTCTTGCGCCAGATACGTTTCTTGGGTGGCTCAACATTGTCGCTAGCTGCTGGCTTCTTACAACCTGGCTTGGCCTTGGCCTTGCCACCTTTCGGGGAAGTTGCCGCCTTCGATTTTGCCTTAGCCTTTGCTGTGGGGGCTGCGGTTGCTGCAGTTCCTTCATCACCTACCTCACCTTCTTCTGAGTCCTGCTTTTTCTTTTTGGCTGATCGCAAAAGCTTTCGAGCCTTTGCACCCGGCTTTGCTGTCGGCTTGTCAAGAGCAGAGGTGGTCTTTTTCTTTCCCTTTCCCTTTCTAGATTTTGACTTTGGCTTCGGCTTGCTGCTGTCGCCCTTTTTGTTCTTCTTTTCTTTCTTGTTCCTAAGTTGATCTTCTCGTCTCAAAACTTCTCTGTCCTCAGCGTCAGCGTCAACTCCCGGAGCCATCGCTGTGGATGCCTCCTGGTATGCAGCAGGTTTTCAACACATCGATTTAAATATTTTTTGGAAACAAACAGGCATAGTTCAACATAGGGATACATTGGGCAGTTAATGCGTAGAAAGTGAGACGGCTCCTGGGCAGGCACAGCTTGGAGAGAAGCTTGAGGCGCTTGGACACTCTCAGGCGTGGATTGGACACCAGGCAACTCAGCAGTCTCAGTATGAAGGCTTTTTACTTGAAACTTCTTTCGTTTCTCTTCGCTCGTTTCTGGTGACATGTGTTTCTGGGAACGGTCGGGGGGCACTGGCAATAACATAACATCCACCGGCTGGGTCTCAGTAAAGTCCCCGACAGGAGCACCAACCGATGAAGATCCTCCCATGGAAATCGTGTTGATGGTCATGTTTGAAGGTTTGAGACAAGAAACCAACAACCAAATTCAAATGCTACAAATGAAGGGGCCTGTGACTTCTTCCTTTTCCAATTCCTTTTTCTTCTCGCGGATCCTGAGTCTCTATCCCTACAAGCTGAATACTTGATAACATGATGGAACTTGGTTGACTTGAGTATTGGACTGGTTCAGCAAATCGTTGGCAGCTGCCAAGCGCTTGGACACATCACCTGCCAAGATACTGAATGGCTTACTAGGTCATACACACTCTCATGTTGGACAAAACCCAGTGCCAGGCCTGAAGAACCTGGAGGAACCTCTTCGGCTGGCAAGGACTCGCTGGGTTTGGGCGTAGCGGCAGGCGGGGGAGTAGCTGCCGCAGGCACACTAGCCGGGGCAGCGGGAGGTTTAGTTCCCGGATCATACTCATCCTCATCTTCATCTTGTTCCTAGATTGCACATAAGACACATGGGCGCCAGAAGTGATAGTATGAGGTGAATGGAAAACTGACTGGAAGACTTATGTCCTCTTCCTCATTCTTGGGCTTCCGGGAGTTCACTTCCGTTACAACCTCCTGGGCAAAAGTTCATGCATCTAAAGCTTTAGTTGCTTTGATCTTCAAATTTCCGATATCTTATTTTATCGCCATAAGGTTAGAATTTATTATATCGCCATAAGGTTATGGTTTTTCGATTCTGCTTCAATGTCCAAATTCATGTAGTTATTATATCCGATGACATGGTTCAATGTAAAAAACGAGACAGCATGCATATGTCCTCCAGGTGCGGTGCCAGAGTCAGAACTAGCGCTTGGAAAGTATCATCCTTAACAGGCGGCAGCCCACCAATCAACAGAAAATGAAAATGACCACCGAATTCCGATTTTACTGTCCCTTTAGGTCGCTCCAGTCCCGAAACTGTATCTTTGTGGATGGGGTGCCATTAACTTGTTGTTTTTAATTGGCCAAGGTTCTAGGCTGACCTCAACTCGCCGGCACTTCATTTTCACGAATGTGCAAAGCTTTCGAATGATCCAGCCATCGGATTCGATATCGGCCGCTGGTCGGTTTTGCTTGTTCTTCACATAGAGCTTCTGAATCTCTTCGCGCAAAGTCTCTACTTCTGGCAACTTGTTGGAGTGGAGCTCCATCCGGGCCAAGACTGGCTTCAAGACCTCATTGATTGCAACTGCAGACTGGATACCTTCGGTGCTCGTCCCCTCTGGCACCAATTGGTGGCCATCTCTCAGTTTATCACGGATCACCTCAATCTTGTCCCACTCATCAGACAAGCCATCACACACAGGATCGGGTGCAGACTTAGCAAGACTGCCGGAACTCATTTTGCCAAACAGGCACGGTTTGACCCCAAATGGCTCTAAGAAAATGGTTTTCACCCAGCAACCTGATGCGCAGGAGCAAAGCAGCTGCTGACTGGGGAGCCCTGCCAAAGCCGAATGAAAATGGCCACCGCATACCGTCGGGCCGGTGTGGTTTGATACTTTCGGAAATTCTTATGCTTTTGGAATGAATGTGGCCAACCGTGGGGCACTTCTGAATCTTGAACATCACAATTCCACCAATTTTGTGATTTGGTGTCTTCCTGATCTGCTGTTTCTTTCATAGAGCCTCCTGTGATGGACCAATTCATCGATGTCATCCGATTTCCAGGAAAACCGGGTTTTCGGAAGCAAAACCGGGTTATCGGTATGTCAAGCCCGGAAAACCGGGTTTTCCAGACAAACCCTACTTTTTTCCAGGGTTTAGTAGGTCAAGGTATGGTATATGTATAACGTATATATATATAATGTATGTATATATATATAACGTATATGTATATATATATATATATACGGATTTCTTGGGGAATTACCATTTGAATACCATCATTCTATCATTTGCATAGTACACCATCCCGTTTGATATCATGTGCATATGACAAGATATAAATGGGAATTGTCGTAATTCACTGGTTAAATTGGATTTCAAGCAGTTTTTCATGTGAATTTGAAAAAAAGGGATTGAATGAGTCAAAACCCTGGTGCCCGGATGGGACCCTAAAATAGCTGCTTAATGAATCGATATTCCTCGAACATATGGTAATGATAGGTTTTGACCCATCTCCATATGACATATAACAATTTAAATCAATTTAATATATATATACATAATTATATGTTAATGGTTGGTTAATGGGTCATATAATATTGACTGATAATAATTCATAAATGATTTAATGGGATTTAATTTAATGGGTTTTAAAGCAGAACTGAATATATCAAATCAATTCATATCATATGACTCATCATAATTCACTAGCCTGAAACCAGCTGAACTGCTTGGCCATTTGCGGATGATTCCCCGAATCTTTACCATCAGTCCAGCGACTTCCACAAATAACGATGGAAAGGGAAAAGACATGCAAAGAATATTATTCCACAATTATATCCAGAATGATCCACAGTTGTTTTGCCATAATGATCCACAAATAACTGTGGAAAAATAACTGTGGATCATTCTGGATCCATAAGATGATAAAACATGATAAAACTCATGTGGTAAACCCAATCATAAAGCAATGGAATATATGGATATACTGGGGAAAATCAGATGAATATACATGAATGTATATGAAATAACATTGATCTATCGGGGAAAACATATGACAAATAACGGTTTTTTCGGGGGAAAACATATGACAAATTGATGCAAAAATTGATGGAAAATGAGAGGGACTTCACCAGTTTTTTCCACTGGATCTGTTTTTCGGAAAATGGTTGAGGAAAATAGATGGGGAAATCAGTTTTTTCATCAGCAAACTGAGCCTTTTTAAACATGCATTGACCAATCCTGGATTGACGTAGATTAGGATTTATCTTAAATATCTTAAATCAAATTGTGTTTATGAAGATGCGATCAGGATTTACCATGATTTACCCATCAACATCACGAAGCAAGGACAGAACTTGTCTGTCCAACGGATACAAAATGTTTATGTGCCGTGGTCAAAATATGGAAAAGACATCTCTGCAAAAATGGAAAAGAAGATTCATGAACTTTCGACCCAATCTGAATTAATATGATCCAACATGATCCAACTACTCAAACGGGCCGATTTGCACAAGAAGACGCATCATATCATCATGCAGCTGGCTTGGTTCAAAGCAGTGTTCAAGGAAATCCCTTGTTGGTCATCCTTCCCATGGGAATCTTTCCGCTGGGTAAATCCCTCTTTGATGATACCCTTTATATGTGCAGTGTATGATCATGCCAATGTCTGACTAGAGTTAGTTTTATAATGTGTTATATGGTACTATTGTACTTCAATTCAAATCCCCATTGATATCCCATTTCAATCCCCTTTTTTCATGATTCGCCCAACGATTTATAGCTCAACAGCCTCAAATCTGTTGCCCTTCTCGGTTCCCAGCACTACATTGGCGCCGACTGCGAAGCTCGCACACGCCAACAGCCTAGGCGATGGGCATCAACCGGATGGATTAATGGATTGGTTTAAGGGAAAATCTAGAGGAAACCCTGATTTTGCCTGCAAAAAATATCAAAAAATATCAAAAAATAGCCCAATCAAAGGGTTCTCCTGCAGATGTTCCCTACCAATACTGACTCATCGTTTATTTTTACAGAGGTTTTGAGTCATGGCCATTTGGACGTCTGCAACATCTGCAACCAGGCATGGGTTCCCCTGGCTTCCCAAGTCAATGATGGGCCATTCAAAAATCCTTTTTCCTGATGATGTACCCTCTGGTAAACTAACATAACTATGGAAAATCACCATTTTTAATGGGAAAATCCACTATAAATGGTCATTTTCAATAGCTATGTTAAATTACCAGAGGGTATCTATTTTGGATAGATCTGCATCAAAACCTCTGGGATCAAAAGAAAACACGGCCCCCAAGTCCCCAAGCGAACCTTTTTGTCCTCCACACCAGCCACTGGAACGGGACGTTCAGCCTATCACCGCACGTTGCTGACGTGGACAGCAAAACAGCGGGACCTGCTGAACTGAGAAGCACGGCCATCCTTCCAAAGTAGGACCCCGCTGAACCCAACTGGTGGAATGTGTTTCAGTTTCAAACATCTTCAAACTGGGACTTAGAGAACATCGAGAATCTGGCGAGCCCGCAGAGCTACTTCCAGCAGGAAAGAAACGACCTCAACACTTCCTCTTCGGCCCTTTTTCAAGGGCCATTTAGAATAGCAAGACACGCTATTCGCCGCGACTGGTGCCAATGGGCCAATTCAACGGATCGTTCAGCTGGGATCTCAGGTGTATCACAACTCTTCTCGTTGTCCTTTGGCTTCTTTTTGTGTCTTTTGCACCTGGGACAAGGCTGACATGGCTGAATCATCATCCCAAAGCACATATTAATATTATTGGATCCATCTGAAGCCATGATGCTTCTCAAACATCAACGGAAAAGAAACATGGGGAAAAAAACCAACACAACAAGACTCAACAAGAATTTCTGAATATCCAGTTAACCATAGTTAACCCTTTTATCCATCATTTATCCAAAAAATATTCTATGACTTGTATGGAATGAGCATCCCAATCATCCCCGGATGGCGCCGGATGGCGGCCTTGATCTTCTTCTTCACTGTCTTCACCAGAGCGCCTGCGATGAAACAACAAAAAACGGCAAATAATACAGATGTCATATGGATTTCATATGGATTTCATATGGATTTCATATGGATTTCATACAGATGTCATATGGATTTCATATGGATTTCATATGGATTTAATATGGATTTAATATGGATTTAAGGGTGATAGAATAGTGATAGAATGATAAGGATGATTTCCTAGGATACGAAAACATGGCGGGCCAATGGAAGATCCCCCTCCTGGCAGCCTCGTTTTCAACATAGCTCATGTTCACATCCCCATATGGTCACAGCCATTGACCTATCCCCAACCAAACCACAGTCTGACCACATTTCTTCGCGACATCTGTGACTCACGTCGTGAAGCCTCGGATGAAGGCCCTCGGTTTCAGGGGCAGGGTGAATTAGTCGCACAGGTGCACAGCTTCAACCTGAAACCGTCGTGATTCAACATGATTCAACCCTGATTGGCTGCTGGAAAAACTGGTTTCTTGAACTCCCGAATCGGGTAATTTGTGCTGTCACATCGTGTCAATCGTGTCATATTTCCCCAGTACAGCTGAAAGCCACATTTTTGCTGATCAAGATCTCCATGAAAGTGATGGGAAATCCCCGCGTTGTGTGGCGTCGATGTCGCCGGAAAATGGGTGAAACCAGGCTCCATCGAACGACACGTCTGCCGCGAACGCCGATTCTCTCTGACGGGGGGGTGCCTGATCTGTAGCCATGGGCGGTGAAGCATCCCATCGTTCATGGTTAGTGGTTGGTTAATGGATTTTGGATTTACATCAAATATGATTAAATTTATCATTTATGGATTATATTGGATTACTATAAATCAATATAAATCATTTATATATGGATTACATTGGATTACTATAATTTAACTATAATTTAATCTGATTAAATTATAGTAATCCAATATAATCCATAAAGGATAAGAGATGATCGTCGAGCAATGTCCTTTATCAAACATCCCAGAAAAACCTTGTCCTTTTGGTCATTTCACATCCCGAGGCATCCCAATGTTTGTCTACGGAGACTGAAAATGTCAGAAAAACCTCGGGGCATTCGGTTTACCATGGTTTACCTACTGCTGCGGCATCTGGAAAAAGAATTTCTTGGGAAAACTCAGAAGATGTGCCAGAAGTCAGGAATGAAATGAATGAAATGCAGATTTTTTTCGCATCGCAACCGTCGCAACCCCACCTTGAAATCTATGGAAAGCCGCCGCAAGTCGCACCCAGCCACAGCCGGTCCATGGTAGACATGGGAGCAGATCCCATTGCCAGTTGGACCACAATTATTTGGGTGTGGCAAGTAATGGGAAGGACTATGTACAACAATAAACAAAAACAGGGTACTCATAGATATTTAATGATATCTATAGATTATGAAATTTATTAATGATTATCAATGATTATTATATATAGTTGACAGACTAAACTCTAGTGTTTGAGCGTAACTGTTGCAAGAAACATCGTTTCTTTCGGGATCTAAGCAGGGAGCATGCAGCCAAGAACAACTGGGCATTCCGAACATGGGGCCCCAAGCAGGAACGGTTTCTCTGCTCCAAAAATAGAGCACTAACTCATGAATCATGTAGCTCCCAAAACCCAAATCCGAACCAAAAAAGACAGATGTTGCAGTAGTGTCAATCCCATATTAATAAACCATGGTTTATGAATAAGATTTTGGGGTAGCCTCTGAAAAAATCGTGATTTCACATGCCATGTTGGCTGAAACAGCCATGAAGAGCTGGGCGGCACCTTCTTCGGGGCGAAAAACCGCGGCTATCCCTTGTCAGCATCGCTCTTTTCACCTGCGACTTGTCTGCGAGGGATGAGCGGGATGACCCTGGTGAACGTTTGCAGTTTGCGACATAGAAAATGGCCATAGAAATCGTTGATTTACCCCATTAACAAGGGTTCTGAATAGTGTTTGGTATTTTTTTTGGCTCAGGTTTTGGATTTTTTGTTTGGCTTTCTTTTTTGGTACCATTTGCCCTGTATTTGCAACAGTTTGGAACTAGAATCTGTCATTTTGCATGGTATTCGGTACGTTTTGGCATGGTTACTTTGCATTTTGTATGATATTTGCTACATGTTGGCATGGTTACTCTGCATTTTGCATGGCATTTGCTATATTTGGCCATGTTCACCTTCCATTTTGCACGGTATTTGCAACGTCCTCTCATTTGCATGGTATTTGCTACATTTTGGTACTTCAAACGTTCATGTGGGTTTCATGTGGGGTTTCTTTAGGGTCTGATTTAGGGTTTCATTCAGGGTTTCATTAAGGGTTTCATTAGGATTTCATTTAGAGCTTCATTTAGGGTTTCATGTAGGGTTTCTTTAGGGATTCTTTAGGGTTTCATTTAGGGATTCATTTAGGGTTTCTTTAGGGTTTCATGTAGGGTTTCTTATCAGGATTTCTTATCAGGATGTTCAAACGTTCATGTGGGTTTCTTTAGGGCTTCTTTAGGGTTTCATTTTGGGTTTCATTTAGGGTTTCTTTAGGGTTTCATTTAGGGTCTCTTTAGGGTTTCATTTAGGGTCTCTTTAGGGTTTCTTTAGGGTTTGATTTAGGGTTTCATTTAGGGTTTCTTTAGGGTTTCATTTAGGGTCTCTTTAGGGTTTCATTTAGTGTCTCTTAGGGTTTCTTTAGGGTTTGATTTAGGGTTTCATTTATGGTTTCTTTAGGGTTTCATTTAGGGTCTCTTTAGGGTTCATTTAGGATTTCATGTAGAGGTTTCTTATCAGTTCTTATTAGGAATTCTTCAGGGTTTCTTTGGGTTTCACCTAGGGTCTTTAGGTTTTCATTTAGGATACAAACAGGAGAGAATAAAGCAAAAAAAAACACAAAGAGGCAGTAAAGACAGGAAGAGGAGCAGGAAGTCGAGCAGCAAAAACACATTACTGAAGAAAAGAAAAAGTAGAATACAGTAGTAGAAGTAGAAAGGCACAGAAGCACAAAAGCAGAGAAGCAGAGAAGCAGGGAAAGCAGAGAAGCAGAAAAGAAAAGAAGCAGGTAAAGCAGAGAAGCAGAGAAGCATGAAAAGCAGAGAAGCAGGAAAAGCAAAAAGCATGAAAAGCAAAAAGCAATCAAAAAGCAGAAAAAGCAGAAAAGCAGAGAGGCAGGAAAGCATAGAACCAGGAACCCCCAAAAAAATCTCCAAAACCTGCGAAAAAAAAAGAACAGCAAAAATAGATAGCCCCGGCAGCCCTCCAAAGGGTATGACCTGGTGACCATCGACCATAAACCCATCAGAAAACATCAAGTCCCAGACAGCTGATGCTCTGCGTCTCTTGAAAATTCATGAGAATGGCATCACACCGCCACACCGCCACATGTTTTAAAAAGTGTGTACCCCCCGCAAAAAATAGGGGGATAGAGAAAGTTCAATTTCCAACTTTATTTCAGTAGGAATTTACGGAAAAAATCCTCCATCTTCTATCACCAGCGCTGCCTTCGGACATGCCCAAGAGGTCAAGTGCCTTAGAGTGCGGGTGTCAAAGTTCTGGAAGCCAAGTAACCAGATAGTAGTAGTAGCAATTACATACAATTACCAGTACCATCAGTATCATATGAATGCTACAACGGAAATTCTACCAAGAACGTGTGAGCAAAGAAAATAACTTTTTCATGGATCTTAATGATACATTCAAGCAATAAACAGATACAAAGAGCCAGATATCCAAAAAATAGCAGCAGCAGCAACAGCAACAACAACAACAACAATATGCCAGTACTGTACTCATCACACCCATAGATCCATCGAAACATAGATCCGATCCATCCATTCATCTCGTACCTTCCCCACCATCTTTTCCCATCAACCCCACCAGAAAAAACCCACCATCAACGCCACCAAGCGACACGGTGCCCAGTATATGAGATGGCCGCTCCAGTTGCAGAAGCCACCAAGGAGATACTGGCCTCACGTACTGGAAAATGGGCACTGGGGAGAAATCAGCTCACCTTCCTATTGGAAAATGATGGGAAAATGATGGGAAATGATTGGGAAATGACAGGTTAATAGCGGTTTTATCATGGGTTCATAATTTATATGGGACTTTTTTTTACCAACACTAATTAATGGATGAAGAATGGATAATTGGAACAATGTAGGATTCATCCCGGCTGCCATAAACAACCTTTAATGACCGGGGATTGATTCAACCATCCCACCCAGAAAAAAATGGTGATTTTCCTTGGGGATGATTTTTATGACATTTTTCGTGAATCCTACATTACCGGAAAATGACTGGAGATCACATCTATTGAAGTGGGAAATTGATGGGAATCCAATGAAGTTCTAGGACATTTTTTTGCAAAATAACGATTTGAGTGTTTAAGTGGGACCATTCTGAAAGAAGGAATCCCAATCTGAAAAAAAAATATCGTGCTTTAAAAGTGTCTAAAGAGTTCCAATGAGAGCCTGAAATGGCAAGAGTTGCTAGTGTGTTTCTCCACGGTTTTGTTTGGATACCGAATGTGTATATATATATATATACATATATATAAATATGCTAGCCCCCCAAAAGAAGGAAACTACGCCCTACGCGTATGTATATATATATATACATATATCTATACATATCCATGCGGGTATCTGCTTGTACAAAAGTGCCCATCCACATGCATTGTCCACTGCACATGTGCATCCGGCCCTCTTGAAGCCGTGTCGATGGAAAAACAGCTCGAAAAACTTCTATGGTTGAATATGGGTCAAGGGCCATCGGGCAACCCCATTAATCATGGGAGAACCTCAGTGTCAATATGTGTCAAGAATTGTCAAGATATGTTTTTCACCGCAGAAATGCGCTTCAATACATAGCCAATGGTAGACAGTGGTTCTGCCAACAAATCCACAAGAACAACACAGGTCACACCGTTTTTTCCATCAGAAAATGACAAATCTCCAGGGTTTCTTGACGCTTAAACCGAATCCTTTTCCACCATGCTGGTGCCGGTTGTGTTCCCCCTTTTTATCAAACCCAACTCCTCATAGACTCATAGTAGTTAAAGTGCATTGGAATCATATATCCATTGCACCCTTTGTCATTGTTGTTTCATTCCCCGATTCTCGATTGCTAGATCCTCGTGTTTTTGGGCTAAATCCCCATTTAATTGTGCCGCACTATGAGCCTCTTTTTTCATGGTCAAATCCAGGTGTTTCATTGTTAAATCCCCATAATTCAATGAAATTCACCATGGTTGATATTCACATTCCCATGTTTCATCATTTTTTCTGGTGAAAATCCCCCATGTTCCACCATTTTTGGATGATTTTCATCCCCATTTTTTCGGATGACATCAGCCCCGCCTGCGAGGCCGCATTCACCGCCACTCCAGCCGCCCCCTGCGCTAAGCCCAGCGTGCCAGAGGAGGCGTAGCCCACGGCGCTGGAGGTGGCAGAAACCAGCGATCTGGGGATTTCAGTATGGACTTCGGGATGGGCTGGATCCAAACTTACCCAACCTGGTTATGACATTCACAGGGCTAGCCATGGTTTGGTTTTTTTTGGCCCTAATCGAAATAGATGGTAAACACCGTTCAGAAAATAGCCATGGTGGATCTTTCCATGGCGAACTGTGAATGTCATAACCAGGTTGGGTAGGATTTCCCACAAGGATTTCGCATCGGGATTTCCAATCCAAAGTTGGGATTTCCCATGGGGATTTTCCATGAAGGAATTCCGCGTGGGATTTTTGATGGGGATTGATACGTGGGATTTGATGGTTGATAACATGGGGATTGACCGGCCTGGTAAACTAACATAGCCATGGAAAATCACCATTTATAGTGAATTTTCCCATGAAAAATGGTGATTTTCCATAGTTATGTTAAATTACCAGAGGGTAACCATCAGAGATGATATTCTGGATTTACATGGATTAGTGATTTCTGCAGGATTTCCTGCCGGATTTGCATGGGATGAATGCGAGTACAGGGGATTTGTTCAATGAACAAATAAATGGATTACTATGTTCAGCGAGATTTCTATGAGATTTCCATGAAGTATCAAACAGAGATGGATTATTTAATGATGGATCAATAATGTGTGTATAGTCTGTGTGTATATATATATAATTCAACGATGGGAAGTTGGAAATACTGCATGATTTCTATAGGATTAATGGTTTCCGATGTAAATCCGATCCAAATTTAAGATTGTATTTCCTGCCAGATTTCTATGGGATCTCAAAGAGGGTTTTTTCCATGCAAGGGAAAAGAAAAAACGGTTTCCATGGCCAAGTTGACTTACCTGGTAGGAATTCAGGAATGGTTGAACATGGGTTTATAGGTGCTAGTATGGGGATTCAGCATCAAACATGGGGGTTTAATAAGTCAATATGGATCAATATGGATTTTCCATGAGAATCCATAGGGGTTCTACGACTATGATTTCTGTGGGATTTCTATGGGATTTCTATGGGATTTCTACGTCCATGGGATTTGATGGGGATTGTTGGCACCCCGCAAGGATAGCTCAATGTTTCACAAAAGGAATAGGGAATAGGATGAGGTACTGAAGACTGAAGATTGATACTATAAAAAGGTCGTGTTTAAAGAAGAGATTGAAAATGCAACAGCGTAACACTACATTTAAAAACCTAGAATGGGTTACTTAAAATATCTTAAGACTTGGTGAATGAAAGTAAGGTATATAGTTTACGTAGCATTCGTCAAAGTTGGGTGTTGTTCTGATTCCCAATATCTTTTCTACGGACGGGGAGTCATTCTTGCATAGAGGCATGGTGATGGGGTGATTGGGGGTGGGTTGATATGGGGTTGTCTCAATCAAATAGGGAGTAAGTATGGTTGTTTGAATGGAGGTGTTATGCGTGTTTTCTTTATCAAGGGATGCAATTCGCCATCCAAGGGTCAGCTGCAGGAAACTGGACTGAACAACAGGACTGTGTCCAATTTGGGTCTGAAAATGATGTGATTTACCTCAATTTTTGGCCACTTTCATGTGGAAAATGATGATAAACTAGTGGATTTCAGGGATGCACGAAACTCAACTCATAATTTCATGCCCTTTCACCAAAACTTTTTTTTACCTACATTGTCAGATTAAAATGAACATTCTCTGTGTATATATATATATATCAGAAATGTGTGTATATTAATTATATATATATGTTAGCGTTTGTCTATGTTCAGATATGATATATGCATAATAGTATGTAACATATATACAGCATTATAAGACCCCGATTAAACAGTATTACATATTTTACCATTTTTCATATTACCATAATTTAGTCATACCAATTGTTGATGAATATAGCACATTTATAGATAATTTACCTATTAATCATAATTCCAAAATTGTTGATTGTCCAAAGCTGTGTTAAATAACCAGAGAGTATATCCAACAATTAAACATCAGTATGACTATACTGCCAATATTATAATATGTATTACAATATTACCAGTATTAACATTATTGTCAATACTATTGCCACTATCAGTTGACTTCTTTTGATTCTTATTGTATTACCAATATCATAATATTACCAATTGCTGATACTGAATGTGGAGCTTTCCGACCAGTGGTACCCCGGGTACCATCATCCAGTCTTCATGGATGACCCTGGGTAATCTGGGATCCAGCGGCTAATAACCAATCAGATCACCAGGGTTTCTGGATCAAAAAATTCCAGGGGGTTCCATAAATGCAGCTGCCCCGCTGGATGGTTATGGATTTTATCCCAATCTTTCTAAAGTGGATATTTTTTGGGGGTACCCCCATGACTTAGCATGACTTAGGAAGCCTCCATGAATCTTAATCAATATTCTTACCCTCTGGTAATTTAACGGTTTGCTATTGAACATGGCTATTTATAGTGGATTTACCCATTGAAAATGATGATTTTCCATAGTTATGTTAGTTTACCAGAGGGTAACTATACAAAAAAACACTATACAAATCACCTGCAGTGTCCTAACTTCCACTTTTTAGATCTTTTTAGTGCTTCAACTCACCTAGTTTACCAGAGGGTACCAGTTGTTATTCACGAATACCAAGACACACACCCACACCGCCGTGCCATCCCGCGTTGCCAAGCAACTCCGGCGCCGCCGTTGCTCCCAGGAGCGCCCTCGTGCCGTGGCGCGCCGCCAGGCAGACCAGGGATGTGCCCACGTTTCCAACGATGGAGCAGGTGGAGGAGACCGCACATACTCCTGGGGATTTTCGGATTTTTACGGATTTTTATGGATTTTTCTATGGGAAAAGAGAGGAAGTTTACCAGCAACAAAGGGACTCCAGTGATGAAAACCATGGGAAAATGTTAGAACATGAGGGTGTGTACCTTTGTTTAACGGATGCAAAAATCTGGATAAAAATAAGGATAGGATGGGAAATTTGGGATGCACTGACTTCTGGATGAACCGCGTGGAGTGTTGTGGGACACAAAAAAAACATCACAGACCACATCTTTTTGGGGTGTGTCTCTCTGTAAAACGTTGCATGGGCATATCTGATCTATGTATATATATATATATATAATGTACAATGTAATGTGCTATTGTATCTATTAGTAATCCCCAAACGGATAGAAAAGTAATTGTGTTCTCTGCATTTTTTGGATGGAATGTCCCAAAAATATAGATTGGGATCCCAATATATATACCAACCCCCCAAAAATGATTTTCAAAAATGATATCCCTGTTTTAATGCGATTTGACGTTTCTATCTCAACTTGGGGATCCAAAAAAAAAGGACATCGTCAGACGTCGACCTGCCACCCCCCAAGCCACCTGCTGTCAACGTGCCACTCACCACAGCGCTGCCCAGGGCTGCAGCTGAGGCGACCCCTAGGGTAGCGACTCGGCCCACCAGCACGCTGTGCGTCACATCACTGGTGGTGCGTTGCCGCAGCCCCGGTGGCGAGAAGTCGCTGCCCTCCTGCAGCTAGGGAGCTGGGAAGTGTTCTATGAATTTTGAGTTGGAAAATCTAGCTGAATAATTCCGGGATATTCTGAGAGTCTGAAGTTTGAAGAGTTGACTGCTGTCCAGCTTGGAAACCATGTTCTTCGCGAAACTCATGGCAAGTTGTGGAATGGAGGAGAGATCATTGGCCGAACCTGCCTGGTTAATCCGTGACATCCCTGTTTTCGCTCCTGAGATAGCCTTGCCTCATAAGCAGCAGCGGCATCTTCATTGAGGCATTGGCTCAGCTGTTCTCTCAGGACTCCTCCGACACTTGGGACAGGATTCTGAATCAGAGGGTCATGGAAAATCGAACAAAACTCATGGGGAAATGGTATAATCATGCAACTAAATGGATAGTTTTTTCACTGCCATGTTAAATCATAGTCCATCCATACACTTTGGCACATTCAAAGGCCGTGAAACTGACGGTCTTGTCGACACAAGAGCTGAATCCTTAGGCCCTTTTTTCATCCCATTCAGAAACCCTGGTGGATACAGAATCTTTTCGTGAAATTTGGATCCCAGGTTTTTGATGTAAAAACGTGGGAAGATTGGATTGCCTACCTAGCAGGGTCAAAAAAAGGTGATTCCCCTTTTTTGGGTGCCAATATGTCCCAATATGTTCCAATGGCATCCATATGCCCATGTGTTTCCATCTATCTACCCCATGTCTGATGCTTACATCTCATTTTAGTGATGGTTAAATTGTTGGTTACCAATTTTGACGAAATCATCACTATAAGTGATGGTGTTATATCCCTATTAGGGGCCCATAGGGGTCTCCCATAGTTCATATACCTTACAAGTGAGGCCCCCAGTTATAAGTTGGTTTTAATGCCCATGAGTTCTATAGTTATATCCCCCAATCAACCCTGGTTAACCTAAGTTCTGTGCGTAAACGAAATCACCGTCAACGGGGGCCTATAAAGTTTCCACATACCCATAAAACCAACCACTTTAAGACACGGGGCATATTGGTTGAAACCATATTCCATAGTTCATCATATTGCATAGTTAATATGTATGGAAAAAAAATGAGGGGCATAGAGGTCTCTCATAGTTCATATGCCAAAACCAACCATGAAACCAACCACGGCCACGAGCCCATCACCGCACTGTCGCCGCCACCTTCAAGAAGCCGCACGTCTTGGTGTCCGCTTCCCAGCCACGGTCTCTCGATCTCCAAAACGCGGATCCTCATGGAAGTTCAGCTGGTTTCGTGGAATTTAGATGGGAAGTTCAGCTGGTTTCGAATGATGTGAATAGGACTAGGATGGGAATTCTTGACCATGATGGGATGGCAATTGGGATTTCCTGTGGGATTTTTTTTGGTTGGGATATAATGAGAACACAATAGGGATACAATGAGAATATCATTGGGATATTATGGGAATATATCATGGTCTTCACGGGGATTTTTGAGGGCTGAATTTCGCAGGAAGGGGGCCAAACGACAGGTTACAGGTTCGTTTGTAACATTTTATAACTATGGTGTATTGAACTAGTTAGATGGGGTATACGGTATAAGCCAACGTGTACCTGACTGGCCCTTCCCGCAGGTTAAAAACTATCTAACTTGAAGGATATCCCATGTAATAAAGATTATCTTTTGAATCCATCCCGGATTCGTAGGTTATTCAGCTATCCAATAGTTTTAACAAGTTTTAACTGCGTTATAAGCCAACTTACCAGCTACTAAATGGGTTGATTCTTCAACGTAGGCTGATGAGGGTACTGGGTGTACCAAAAAATTATACTAAGCGGGTGCCAAATTTCGGAGAGTGAATCAAGAATACTTAGTTTTCAAATGTTCCATTATTATTCACTGAAATCTAGTGCAAAAATGGGTAACTAATGGCGGACATAGCTAATCGCAATGGGTTGTTGAACAAACTGTAGTTGATGGATAGATATATAATATGATAGATAGATTCCAATGGATGCCTAAAATGGTTTCTCATCCTTGGTAACCCTCCCACTTTGGGGTGCCCACTTGCGTGCCAATGGAAGTTCGAGCCATCTTAGTACCAACATGTACCAACCCTACATTAAGAACATTTAATAACCCCATGATGCCATGGTTGATTTGTTTGATGTCCCTTTTGGAATTCGAATTGGGGAGGCAACACCTCCCATATCCACTTCCATTTCTTCGTTCAATCCCTGGTTGTTCAATGGAAAATCACATTGTTTTGCCCAAAAAATAGCCTCTGGTAAACTAACATAGCTATTGAAAATTGCCATTTTTAATGGGAAAATCCACTATAAATGGTCATTTTCCATAGCTATGTGGCTGTTTACCAGAGGGTAACATGTTCTGCACGTCCTTGGCCGCTCTGCTCCAAGGTGCCAGAGTGGGATGGCTTGAGGTGCTCTTCCCTGCGTGCTCAGCAATGCCGCCAATCTTCGGAGGCATCCCGAGACCTTTCTTCGGAGACGTGTGGCGAAGTGTGGCGAAGAACTTGGGATAAGAAAGGGATACCCTCTGGTAATTTAACGGTTTGCTATTGAAAATGATCATTTATAGTGGATTTACCCATTAAAAATGGTGATTTTCCATAGTTATGTTAGCTTACCAGAGGGTAAGAATGGGATTGTACTGGGATGATTTGATGATGCTGATTAATGGGTAAAAAAATAATGATTAATCTGATGAACATGCAAGTCATGAGTATCCCATTAAAAAAACACATTAATATGAGGGTTTCTGCAAAAAATAAGGAGGTACCCCAAGTCACCATGGTTCTTAACCTACACGTCACTAAGATCACCCACCCCAACTGGTTCAGGAGTAGGGGGGGGTGGATCCTACATTTTTTCAAATGTATGGAAATCCGGGGGGGTTAACCCGTCACTTTTTGCCAAAAACATATGGGAACTATGAGGGAAATGTATTCTTTGTAACGGCATTGAACCTGAAAATGCATGCTTTTTGGGGGTACAACTGACAAGAGCCAATGGATACATAAACTTTTGTAAATTTATGGAAGCATGGTGGTTCTGCACCTCAATCCAGTTGATCTCTTTTTCCTGGGAAACCTTCTGAAACCCGTGAAAACCAGAAGATCACCCTGGGAATACCTGGGGTCCCCTAAATACAAACACGCATCACTCCCAAGACATGACACCAACTCACAAGACAATCGCTGTTGTTTTTTCATGGGGCGCCGTGCCGGACCCGTTAGGATTAGACCGTTAGATGCTCTGAAGTGAACGCCCATGGGGCAACTATCGGCAACTATAGTGAACCCTCGAGTCACAAAATGGCTGAAATATGCTGGATCTGAAATTTGCTGAACAACGACTCCCTTAGCAAGATGTATAAAATCCATTTGCCAAAAATGATGTGCATTTCGTCTACCCAAACCCCCTAAAATACTTTTTCAAAGAAGGGTATTCGAAAAAAATTGGGACATTCCCGGGGATCCTGAAAAAACCAAACACGTAAATGCATTAAACCACCCCGCCGAAATAAAAGATCCTGGGGGGTGGATATCCCGACCCATGGATCCTATATTTTTCAGACACCCCCTCGTCAAAAAATCTATTTAGGGGTCCTGGGGAATCAATTTTTGGAGGACGATAAGTGTATTTTTTTCCCTAACCTCTCCCCCCTAAAATACATTTTTAGGGGTGGGTGATTCACTAAGTCATGGTCATCCATGAGTTGGATGATGACTGGGGATGCCCGCAGGACTTTGGAAACCTACTGGAAACCGGTAGGTTTCAACAGTTTTGCAAGCAATAGGTTGGTTTTCCCAAGGGAAAATTGACCGGAAACCTCTGGGTTTAAATGGGTTTACCCATCTGGCCAACTGAAAAAACTGCCCATGATCTGGGGGATGTCACAATCCCCCGAGGGTCTCCAGCTGTTGCGTGCCGAAGAACTCGAAGGTCTTGCGATCCAAAGCGCTCCTCTGCATCTTGCAGTTCAGCTAAACATTGCTGAAGCGCACCTTGCAGGACATGGCTCGAAGACCAGAAAGAAACCGGAAATACCCCAAAAACCACGGCCCGGCCAACCTTAGATATGCTCAAGTGCTTAAAAAGTCCTCCCCGTCTATCAGATAAATGTGGAATTCCCATGGGAATTCCTCCATGGCCATGGCAATGGCCATCCAGCCGCCTTCATGACATGCTGTGGTGAAGCTTCTCGCCCTCGACGGACTCGATGGGCTCGACGGGCTCGCTTCCGCTTCCTCCAAATCCAACGTGGTAACGAAGAAACGCAGCTCTTCAGAAATCTGTATACCAGAGTTAGATGATATAAACATGTATTATATATGTATATACACAATTTAAGCATAGATCATCACCAAACGGAAGGATGTGGTGGACCCAAAAAACAAGTCTAGTCAGGAACATGGCCACATGGCGTCTATTCAATAAGCAATGGAAGTGTCTATTCCATGGGGGATCCATGGGGATCCATTCGGAAACCGACATCAGCCGAGCGACTGCCTCTTCCGTGATGGAATCTTCTGGGCAGGTCTCCACAGATGGAGTCAGCAATTTCTCCTGCGCGCTTTTTTCAAGCCATGGTAGGATCCACCGAAATTCTTGGAATGGATTAAAGATTATGAAATCCCCTGGTGTTGTGAGTGACCCTATCATTTTTGTGACTCACGCTGCTTCTCAATCACATCCCAAGGCCGGCCCTAGCTGCGGAAAGAAATGGTTTGAAATAAAATCCATCTGAAAGCCCTCTTGACGGGCACCCATCCATGTCAGTTGAAATGCCAAGAGATGGGAGTCAAAAAAGCATTCCAAAGTGGATCCGTTGACCATGAGACGGGGAGGGGCAAAGTTTTGGCAGCAGCCAACAGGGCACTTCAAACGGCCAAATATGTGGCCGTCTGATTTCCAATATGGGTTTGTGTGAAAATAGGTGAATCACCTCTGTCCAATGGTTTATCATCATTGTCGCGTTTTATCAGTGACAACGTTGGGTGTTCCGACGTTCTATCCCTTTTAAACCATGATTTTTGTTGGTTAAATCTCCATGTTGACTAGATTTGTCATACATCCCATAAGAAAATGTAAAAGATGGTTCTGGGGAATACATGTCCACCTACAGTTTCTATTTCTACACCATCTCTTACAACAACTCTGTTTTTATCCCTCCATACATTTTCAATATCACTATCATCACCATATCAATATCTCATTCTACGATATTATAAGTCTGCTCTTTTCCATTACCGTGCTCAACTTTGATTGTTCGGCATCGTTGATTTCCCAATGCTTTGGGGACCACCCAAGAAGGAAGGGCTGCTCAAAGCAGGCGTGCAGAAGCGGGTTCTACCTTTTCCAGCCTTTGCCCAGCCTTCCTTACGCTGGATATGCGAAACCAAACAGGAACCACGGCGCCTAACCTCAATATTTGAAAGCAAATAGTTCAACAATGATTTGACAACAGCTTGGTTTGGTAGAAATTTGAGCCTCAACCTAAACATAAAAACTCTAACCACCTCAACAAAACCCCCCCTCATCCAAACCAAGAATTAGGTGAAGGTGTTTGACGAAAAAAAACAGAACAGACACCCCAGAAAACATCAAAGAATGAGATTTGATTAAATGTTTATACCCAACATAAAAATCTAGCAACCAACATACTAACATGTACTCCCCAGAACCATCCTTTTACCTTACTTTTCCATTAATACCGAGTAATTGATATCCCTTAAATTATTGGTTTAGATCTTCCATCATATCTCAACAAAAATGGTGGTTTCCTGAAGTGGGGGCAACCCCAAATCATCCATGTTGTAATCGGAGTTTTCATTATAAACCGACCATTTTGCGGATCCCATTTATGGAAACGTATCCCCATCATTGGCTTGTTACTGACCATCCCTGAAAGTTTCCTCCAGCATCGCAACGTCAGAAGCTTGCGACGACAAGTCCAATGTAGGGCCCTCCTGAACTAAGGGGAGTTCTGGAAATATTTTGTTTTAGTTATAGTTGTGTATATACATGTATGTATATATATATGTAATCATGCTAAGGCAGATAGAATTCCCCATTTTTCAAAACAAGAAAACGGATTCTACTCCAGGATGAGTACATATATCATCATATATCTACAGCAACCTCCAGAAAGATGGACAAGTTGGAGACCTGGATGTCCATTCGGGAAACACAACGTTCTACGTTTTTGGTGCTTCTATAATGTTATGTAAAGGTGGATTTATTTTTAACAAATATGGTGGATTGGGTGTATGTAATCCCCTGAAATGGTGCAGGTTGCATAACATGACACTCCATTCCATTCCGTTCCGTTTCATTCCATTCCATACATATCGTATATCTAAGATACGAATCTCAAGATACATACATAGTACATACGATATCTCAATGTACCATTCCAATTCATATATGTATGTATGTACTATGGTATACCACAGTACAGCCCAATATTTCTATAGGAATCTTGGGCTGTTGCCCATGGAGCTGATGGCTCCTCAAGTTGAGAACGCACGGCTGAATCAGTTTCTATGAATCGTTCGGTCTATTTCTTTGGTTACCTAGGGTTTATGGGGAATATAACTATAGTTGATAAGGATTATATGGCATACATGGGAATATGTATATATATATATGTATGTGTATGTATATGTATATGTATATGTATGTGTATATATATATATGTATATGTATATATATATATGTATATGTATATATATATGTATATGTAATATATATATATACATATGTATATATATATATGTATATGTATATATATATATGGAATTTTGGAGGAATAAATGTGGAATATATGAGAAATCTATTGATTCTTGGGGGAAGACATGGGGAACATGTTTCATTTTCATCAAAAGTATAGAACTGGAAGCGCTGGAACGTGCTTCTCTCTGAGCATCCCGTGTTAGGTGCTTTCAACACACCGTCACAAGATCAAGTGAGATGATCATACCATTTTAGGGATGGGCAAGTAGAACAACTATGAATGAAACCAGCAACCAGATCCTATCCTCAACTGAGGCTGGGAGTCGCTTTCGATGGCAACTAGCCCCAAATTTTCTTGGACAAGGCTATCAACCATATCCCCACAAAAGCCAGATTTTATATCAGTATTGTATATATATATATATATCATGACTCTTGCATGACCCCTTTATTGCTTGTTTCTGCGGGTTGTGTGAAAACAAAGGTCCCCAGATCGGATGTTCATCATCATTCTCCCTACAGCACCTTTTTTTGGGGTGTGAACCTCCAAGTTTTAGACACACCCTTTTCAGACACAACCCATATCAATCCAGATCCATGATACAGTGCTCAACTCCCTTTTTCATCCTGTTTTGAGCCAAAAAAAAACCATCTTGGCTTGTTAAATCCCCATGTTGCTGTGTGAAATCCCTATTTAGTTTATATCAATATCCATCAGTGACAACCGTGGCCAAGCTACAGTCATCTCTCTCCTCACCGAGCTCTGTACAGCTCGCGCCCGGTAGGTTCCCAGCAGCCCCGCTGGAGCCAAAATTCAATGGTTTTGCACCAAAAATCGGAGGAAATATACTAGACGGAAAATTAGATCTGATTAAACCGTTACAGTATGTGAAATATCCGTAGTTTCTCTTGAAGAATGTCTTTCGATTCGGTGTCGATGCCCCAACTTCCAGTTTGCGCCTATGCCATCGTCTTCCCAGTCAAAGGAGGTAACTCCTTCCTGTCCCTGAGGCTTCACATGGGCAGATGCTTTTGCCAACTGGTTTTGTCAAAGTCGAACATCTACCCGAATTTACTGTGGAAAATTGGGAGATGGATCATGGGGTACCAGCTGGGATCCCAGCTGGGATCCCGACTGGAACAGAATGGTTCAACTCTCTGGCACCAATGCTTGCAACCAAAGAGCTTGCACTGCGAAACTGAGGAAGATGTTGGTCTCGTTGTGACGATTGGGTTCCATCAAATGGGAGGTCCATGACGGAAAAAAGAGCCTTGGAAGCGCGCATGGGGTCTGTTGTGTGAGTTGCAAAGACATTTATGTAACCAACCTGGTCTGCCAGTGCTGGTGTACGCATGTGACAATCACAACCGCAGCAAAGGTGAAAGGAGAGAAAAATATCAAGACATGATTCCCAACCACCGAAACGGAAACACAGAAAGGTCGTGGACAGTGGCTGATGAACAGCAACCCCCTCTGAAACATCGCCAGTATCTGTTGAGTTTTGGCTGCCACGGGACACGTCGCCCTGCTTGAATGCCTGAGCCAAGATCCCAAAGAAAATTGACTTGAAGAACTGAAAAACCCTTTTTGAATCACTTTGCATGGTACTGAGTTTCATCATGTTTCAGAAAAACTTCCTGGCACTGCTGCTTCGATCTCCAGTGACCAAGGCTAGATATATGTCACCAGAGTTTTTTTTCAACCCCACTTCCCAACATTGAATGGTAGCTAATGTAAACCATGGAATGGATATACAATGTTATACACCACATCCCACACCAATTGTTTTTTTTAACCATGGTAGCCATGGAATCCGCCAAGCGTCGTGAGTATATTTTCGCCCAAAGGGTGGATTGATCCCTCTGGGATCCTCAATGGCCATCCGCTGGCTCTCAAAGCCACACCTCGAAAAGGCCAGGTGAAACGATGCCAACAACGACTCTAGAAGTGCCAGCAAAAAGAGTCGTAAGTTATGGCAAAAACGCTTGAGTCGCCTCCTCATCATCATCATCATCATCAGCAGCATCATCAGCATCATCATCATTATCATCATCATCATCAGCATCATCATCATCAACGTCATCATTATCATCATCCCCATCATCATCACCATCATCATCATCATCACCATCATCATCACCATCATCAGCACCATCGTCATCACCATCGTCATCACCATTGTCATCATTATCATCATCATCATCATCATCATCATCATCATCAACGTCATCATTATCATCATCCCCATCATCATCACCATCATCGCCATCGTCATCACCATCGTCATCATTATCATCATCCTCATCATCATCACCATCATCATCATCATCACCATCGTCATCATCATCATCAGCATCATCATCATCATCATCACCATCACCATCCTCAACATCATCATCATCATCATCATCATCATCAACATCATCACCATCATCACCACCGCCATCGCCATCACCATCATCATCATCATCATCATCATCATCACCATCTTCATCGTCATCATCATCATCATCATCATCATCATCATCATCATCATCGCCACCATCATCAACATCGGCATCATCGTCATCATCATCATCATCATCATCATCATCACCAACAACATCGTCATCACCATCACCATCCTCACCATCATCATAATCATCATCATCATCACCACCATCATCACCATCATCACCACCGCCATCGCCATCGCCATCACCATCAGCAGCAGCAGCAGTAGCACCACCACTACCATCACCATCCTCATCCTCATCCTTATCCTTACTGTGATCCTCATCCTCATCCTCGACACGTTATCGGTTGTCAAGCCACTACAATTGGAGACAGGCCCACAATTGGGTGCAAAAACATGGCCTGTTGATGTTAAACCGCACAAATATCAGCATTGCGAATCTTTTAGTGTGTTTCTCTCTCAAAAATCATCAAACTCATTTAATTTTGTTTTCTGCATCCAAATAATACACTTCACCCTCCTTTAAACTAACATAGATGTGGAGTTTGCCCATCATTTGTGGATCATGTTCCTTGGGGTTCATCATGGGTTTCCCAAATCTACCCTCTGGTTATTTAATCTATGGAAAATCTCCATCTTGGATCCGCAAATCGTCATAAATCATCTAAATACATCTAAATATATCTAAATCATCTATTTCTGACATTTTCTGACCAGGCTTTCCATACCGAACTCTGAAATCATCAAAGGGCCCGCCTTAGGGCGATGATGCCCACCACCGGCGATCCCGTGTGCGTGTGCGGACGTTGAAATTCACCCGGTCGGTAAACCTCCACCTGGTGCAACCCTAATGGAGCTGACGGAAAAATCACCGGAAAACTTATAGGAATCTCACATAACTGTTGTTATAAGAGGATGTTCCTGGACATTTTCTCCAAAACAATCCAGTGATTGAAGCATGTTTGAAAATTGGACATTTCAGGAACCGAAACTAAAGGTACCTTCCGTATATATATTATATAAGGCCTATTTTTTAGGGCTACGTAAAGGAATATCCCCACACGATATGGCCTAAAAAATGGTACTAACGTACCTCCGTTTTAGGATCCTCTAAATCTCATTGATTTCTTGGATGTTACTGTTAAATATGGATATGTTATGATATGTTATTGGATATGCTGCAAATTTATGCAAATGGTGATATACCCCCCAGAAAAGGACCGTTATATATATATCGAATTTTGACCGGAATTTGTTGGGGGTTTACCATCAACAATGAGTGTTTAACTAGGAAACATGTGGATATAATGGGGGATATAATCGGGGTACGTACAATGGGATACCAACAAATGGGGATACCCTCCGGTAAATTCACATCGCTATGGAAAATCACATGTTTATCCATTGTTGAAAGTGGTATATCATCGAACTAAATAGGCAATGTTAAATGGCAAACCGTTAAATTGCCCGACGGAGTGCGTCTGTGTTTTGAATGTTACAGCTATTTGGATTGGAACAATACACATCGTGCAGACAATAGATATAGTGGGATAGTTGATAACCAGCAACAAAAAATAACGGCCTTGTCCAGACATGTTTGACATGATGGGCATAAAATGGATATATAGCCAACGATATGATATCAGGTTTCTGGCTTGTCCAGAGTTTGGGGCACTTACACCCACCAAAAAAAGCAATGTTCAGAAGGGAACGTTGGTGATTCATCGTTGGATCTCTGGGGTTTACCCCCACAAAATCAGACAAACAAACTACGGGATGTATCTGCAAGAGGTCATAATTCCGTGTCCCAAAATGGAAGGGTTGCTTCCAGGTCCATAGACGATCATAGAATATCATAGATGTACCAAATGACCTTGGAATTTCATCCAACTGAGAATGTCAATAAAAAAAATATCTGCTTTTTTACAACAGCAGTGGGCCAGTGGGGAGTTCTCTCTGGTGCAACTGACGCTGCAACTGAGAAACCCATGGGATGAATCGTGCCCGCCTGAGAGCAGAGCTGCGGAACGATGTCCCTATGGAGTGAAGCCAGAGAAATTTTCAGAGACCTAAACTTCCTAAACCAGAATGTGTCTGGTTTAATGATAGAAGAGTCAAAAAAAGCCATTAAAAAAAAAAAGTCATATCAGTCATATCAAAATATCATCATCTGCCGACTTTGGGTTGCCACCGAGAGCCGGTGATCCTATCCTATCTGCTGTCCTCGCCTGCCACGGCCAAGCTCGAGATTTGCCTCTGCAACCTTCTTGTATCTCGCCTCAGTCGGCTACTCAGATGGTGGGTCAAAACCATCGTATCCAAACGGTACCCTAAAATGGCTGATGGTTGAGAAAACAACTTTCCCAGCAAAAAAAATGCCATAAATTGAGGTAATTTCAGCCATGGACAAATCCTTTTACCTGTTAGATCCAAGTCGGTGTCAAGAGACTGAAGTGATGACCGAAAACACTCTTTGCATGTGGCACATTGTGATCACATATATCGTCCACTCAAAGTCCGGGGGTTGAAGTAGATTGTTGTGCCCAGCCCATAGAAAGGCACAGGAATCCTGACATCTACCGCCATGCTTCGTTTTTCAACTAAGCTAGTAGTATCTGCCACAAATACGTGCTGCTGTCATCATGTTCACCGCATGATAGGCCAGTAAATATGATCCAGATTTCAGCATTCACAAGGTCGGTCATTTTCAATTGTGGCTTTACAGCCAATTCAGGCCATCAAAAAAAATCGCAATCCCCTAAACCGCTGATATATCTGATACCCCAATAAAGAAACACTGGTCATATCATGTTTTGGGATCTCCAGCATTCAGAAAGAACTCCAGATGCAAAAACCAAGTCTCCAGAGGTGTTGAGATCCTCTTGACCATCCTGGACGTCTCCCCCGATTGATAAAGTCGGAGAAATTTGGGCGATGTCTTAATGTTGGTTGAAAAATTGGTACCCTCTGGTAAACATACAAAAAGCTATTGAAAATTGCCATAGAAATAGTGGATTTACCCATCAAAAATTGTGATTTTCCATAGCTATGTAACAAATTACCAGAGGGTATGTGCATGCCAAAAAGCCATTGGATTTGATGATACACCATGAGTCAAAGAAGATAATCCATTGGGACAATTGCATGTTTGATAAGGTGTCTCTTAAAAGAGGATACCCCGTTCCATCCAGGCTTATCATCATTTTCCCTATTATTTCATTGCCATTTGGAGGGTATACACCATTTTCTGACAGACCCAAATATTAAATTTGTTAGATTGTTAATGTTATATCCCATGAAATCCCATGAATATCCCATCAAAAGTGAATAAACCCATATATATATAATGTATATACCTCATTAATCCATGGGAAACTTGGATTTTCATGGCTACATATACAGCTAAATCTCCCATAAAACATGGATTGTCGCCCGATTCATCCGGCAACTCCGGCGGCGCACGAGGCCAGCATCTTGGGCTTATGCAGCTCAGCCTGCGGCACCACCAAGGTTCGTCTCGGAGACAAGGCAACACATCCGTGGTTAAAATATATGAACCATATATATATATAATGTACATAATTATATGTATATAATATATATATAAGACTATGTTTAAGGTACATTATGTGTTTAATATATAGTAAAAACTCTGAAATTGATCCAGTTCTTTCGACCATAAATGTGCCCAGAAAAACCAGTTCTGGGCCATCGGGACTTCTGCTGCAGAAATCAGGGCAAAACGGATTTCTTCAGCTCCAAAACATGACATAAAAAGTAATCCAGATAGGTTTTTACTAATACCATACTAATACCATACTAATACCATACTAATACCATACTACTACACATAATCCATACTAATACCCAGATTCAAACAGATAGGAAGTGGCCAAGGATTTTTTTTTGGCCTCTCCTATGCCACGCTACAGTAGTAGCTTATCAAAAAGGGAGCATCTGAAGTGGACATGGCATGTCCAACGATATCAACTACTGGGACAGCATTAGCCAAGCATCCCAATCATAGTCGACCTCAGCTCTCAGCGATTGAACCCGGTTTCACCAGGAAGCTTTGTTGGCTCAATTTGATATCAATGATGATATCAATATCTTATTATTATTCTTGCTATTATCGACTATTATCCATTAATTCTTCCTATTATATACCCAACATAATTCAGCCTTAGGCCAGGTTTTTGCCACGGAGTCTTTCCAAATTTTCCTGCTGGAAATGCCAAGCCACGCCCTTCAAAGCTGGGACCGGCTTTCCATCCCACAATAACTCTTCAGTGCCTTGACAGACAGCTTTTGATTGGTAAAGTATCATCATGTTTAATGGGTAAATCCACTATAAATTGCCATGTTCAATAGCTTTTTGTATGTTTACCACATATATCATCATCTGGTTGGTGGTTGACCTACCCCTCTGAAAAATGATGGAGTTCGTCAATGGGAAGGATCATCCCATATATGAAATGGAAAATAAAAAATGATTGAAACCACCAACCAGACTCTTGTTGGCAGCTTTTTTTCCCTAAGTCATCTTTGGTTTTAAAAAAAAAATCAGAGTCCACAAGCAACCAGTTTTTTGTGGCGATCTGCAGCCAAAGCGGCTGATTTTGCTTGCCTTGGAATAAACGCGCTTTTGCCACCTGGAAAAAGCACCGATCCATGGTGCCCGTGCTGAAAAACATCCAATAAAAAATGATAAGATCATCGTGTAGTCATCACCATTTTAGGCCCAGCCATCCCTTTTTCTGCGGAAAAAATGGGGGATCATCTTTGAGACAACCAACAAGGTCATGGTTGCGGCAGCTGCTGTGCCTGAAGAATCCCAGGTTCCATCTACTCTCCTGAGGCAACGATTGCAACGATGCGAAGGGGGCCTCGAGATGTTTGAGACTTGAAACTGATGTCATTCCAGAATTCCAAGGGAGGATTGTGAAAATTAACTCAACTGAAGTCCAAATTTCAGCTTGGACATGTGCCCTTAGTCTCAAAGATGAGCCCCTAACAGGACATGTTGGGCTTCGCATTTTTCTTCGCATGGCCTAGCGACTTCCAGTCGATCAATGGACCAAGTGTCATCTGCTACTTGGAACTCGGCTGCAAATTGCTGATCCAACTTCAGCTCAGAGGGCAGGATCTGAGATCAGAACATCCCCGAGGGGAAGTACACTTTCTGGAAATACTGAGAATGATGAATAGTACTGTGTATATATATAATTATTAATATATATATATGTACAATATGTGTATGGATAACATAGACATGCATAATGTGGCATATATGTAAATTATATATATATGTAGATTTAAATATATAGTATATCGCATATTCTCAGACACCTATTAATGTTCAATAAACTCCATCCAGTCGCTGTTGACTCAACCCCCAAGATATGGAGGTTTCCGAAGATCCTAAGTCATGGGGGTACCCCAATAGCTGGATGCTTTGTTTGATGGAAAATCCTTTGCAAATGGATGATTTCTGGGTATCCCCATTTTAGGAAAACCTTCATTAATAAGATGTTCCAATTTTCCCTGACATTTGATCTAGAATACCCAGCATTCTTGAACATCGCCTCCTTGAGATATCTCTGAAAGCCAGTTTCACCAATCGCCGCCAACTCACTGCGCCATCTGTCGACCTGGCGAAGATGACACCGCCCAGGATGGGATGACTCACCCTTCACCCCGTCGCCTCAGCCGCGTCTTCACCTTGATCTGGTTCCAAGGTGCTACGGAGCACGACCATTGGCCAAACCTCGATAGTCGTCGCAGTGTTCGTTTGGAATGGATTTGAGAATCCCCATTCCCAGGTTGGCTATCCCAGCCAGGCTATCCCGAATTGATATCCTAAAATCTATCCTAAAATCATCAGCATCTGGGGGTTAGCCACGGCTCACGGCTCAGTTTTCTGCAGTCGAACGACATATTCGATGGTATTCACGAAGAAGCTCTCTGCATCACCACCCACCTGATCAGTACCAGGATGCCATGGCTAGCGGTTAACCGGATATGGATTCACCATGGAAAAAAAAATGACCAAAGATGTCAAAAAGTACCCGGCCTGGTAAACATACAAAAAGCGACATGGAAAATGGCCATAGAAATAGTGGATTTTCCCATGAATAATGGTGATTTTCCATAGCTATGTAACAAATTACCAGAGGGTATCATCCTCCCGGAATGAATTGCTTTGAGCTCCCAATTATAATTCACCCCAAGTTGTGTGGGCCAATTGGTGTCCCAATTAGGCGACTTTTTCAGGTGGTTTTTTTACATACCCAAATCATCAGTGATCTATCCCGCTAAGCGCAGGAGTTCTCAATCCAGTGCTGACTGGCCCATGGCGAGATACGTGACTTGACTCACCAGCTTTTGGAAAGGTACCCCTTTGGATCCCTTTGGTGTGTCTCAAAATGACCCCCCCCAAAAAAATAGACACTTTAATCAATGGATTGGTTTAAGGGAAAATTTACAGGGAAGCCCCATATTGAATGGGAAAATCTATGGTTTCCGGTTAAGATTTTCCCTTAAACCAATCCATTGATTTAAGATTTTCATAGGGATGGGATGATGGTGTTTACCACTTTAAGATTTGGATCCCGATCTTCTCACCAGCGCCACCGAAAATCCATGGACCGAAGGTCTCAACGACCCCCCGAAACAAAAAGGATGTAGGTGATGAAACCACCCATTTGGAACCATAGAATGGGGGTGCTTGATATGAACGAGGGGTGGGATTATTCATGTTCGTGAACATTTAAAAAAAAACCAAACCAAGCGGCTGCAGCTGTGCACAAAGCCGCAAATAGCGCAACTGGTCGTTGAAACGGTTGCAACCTACAAGACATGTCCCAAGAACATCACCCAACCATTGGAGGTATGGTATACAAACCATGTAGAAGAGATGTTTAAACTGTGTCATTTTTCATTCCAAAATAGGACATTTGCCAACCCTCCTCTGTCTACATCCTTTCAGAATCAGACATCTCCCGAGATGGCCATCACTGGGCCGACACGGCCGATTTTTAGGTGCTAGCCCCGACACTGGATTCTCACCAAACCCACTGCGTTCGGCTGCGCCTGAGGCCTTGCCAACCTCCAAAGGCCATAGCTCCATGAAGGAGGCCACTTGGGTCTAAAAAATCTGCTTTCCACTGTGGTTTGAAGTTTCAAGCCTCAGTTTTCCCTTCCAAATGGCCACAACGGAGGACAAGCCCCATTTTTGGACAGAACTGCAGGAGTCTGCTTTCAGGGACGGACGGTGGATTGGCGAATCAAGAAGAATCATGGGAGCTCCAGGGAAGTGCGTCTGGAGGGGAATGTTTGGGGAAGCCCGCATGCTTGTTGATAGACTTGATCATGTTTATCTCCAGCGCCAATGGCACTATCGATCGCATGTTGAAGCTCTTTTTTCATGCCGTTCAAGCTTGCCAACAGTCATCAATCTGATTTGGCTCGAGCCAAAGTCGCCAGGCACCATTTTCTCCTATCCCTTTTTTCCTTTTCAAAAGTCGTTGTCGATGTTCATTTTGTTCATCAGTCAATTTCGAGGGCTTTCGGACTCGCCATCTTCGACATGGCAAATCCTGAGAGCCTAAGACCCCCCACAAGCACAGCCTGACGAGGCATCGGAAAAACTTTGGAAGGTCAGTATATAACCGCGCGCGACCCCAGCACCATGAACCCCCCAAACAAATCAAATGATAAGGGTTTTATTGTATAAAGGTTGCTGAATCACGTGTTTTGGCTGCTGATTTGGCAAAAGTTAGTTGCAGAATCGTACTTTGTTCAGTGATAAGCTGCAAGTATGGATTACTTAGAAAAAATAGGGTATCGCAGTATCCCATAAATCTTCGGGTCAATCATCATCTTCCGTCTTGATGATATTTGATGGTAGATGTGTGGCAAATCCATGGGATTCATGGCACCTCTGCATTGATGCTTAACCTCGAGGCAAGATGAAGATCGGTGCAGGTTTCACCACAAAATAAAGCTGTCCATACAAACATATATACACACATGTATGTCTATATGTATGCGTATATATACATACATACAGGTACATAACCACTCTATGATAAGATTGCGCGTTTTCTCATGCAGCAGCCAACGTGCAAAATCTCTGGTTGGATCAGTTTTTTCCGGTCTTGGTAGTTTCAGCCGAGGAACGTCCTCCAATTTTCTTGACCCGCAAAAATCACCTGGCGAAAAGTGCCAAAATCACCTGTTTGTTCGTTGATGGGCTACCTGTAAAGATTCCCTGGCATTAGATATAGGAACACCATCTGCAGCAATCTGTGAAATATGTCAAATATTATATATATATATACCATATATTACATGTTACATATCATACCATGTATCATATGTTATATTAAATATTATATCATATATAATAAAAGAAATTAAGATATAGTAATATAATGCAATATAATTTAATATCATATAATATAATGTCATAAAATATGATATAATATAATTTTATTTAATATTGCGAACCCTAAAAACGGGCAAAAAGGCAAGGGCACCACAGCGGCAACCCTTTTTCTTGAGCCATGTGTGCAACAGTATGTGTCATCCTTGCGCAGGGGCCATGCCTGATCAGGTCCAAAGGCTTATGACCTCACCTGCCTGTACTGACACTTCTTGATTTGTGCGTGTCATCTGAAACTCTAAAAATGCCACCACACTCCCCTATGCTACGTTAGCAGCATTTCGGTGGCAGCCCAAAACGGCCAAAAAGCGCCAGCCCTTGCTGGGCTTCGAAGGTTATTCCCGGCTCTCAAATGTCAGCTACCTCATCTTCTGGGCTCGGAACATCAGCATGTTGAGGTTGATCAGTCACCACGGAGAAGCTGCCATCACTAGTCTCCTCCTCGGATTCCACTGCCTCCTCGTAGTACTGGCCATCATCAGTTCCCCCTTCCACAATAGTTCCATGGAGGAAATCCCAGAGCATTCCATCGCTGACATCAGAGCGATTTGATCGCAGGTATCGGGTTCTGCGGCCTGTTGGATCCTCTTGAGGACGTCCAGGGTGAAGGTCAGGAGGAAGTGGTGCCTGCAAGACCCTGAGTGTGGCTTCCCGGACAGACTCTCCCTCGCGGACACTCAACGTAGGCCCATCATTCCACCGATTCACCGGTGCTGGTGACCGTTGGTACACCTGAGTTCCTGGGGGGAAAACAGTGCGTCTCAAAGAGCTCCTTGTAGGCCCCCAGCTCGCTGAAGAGCTCGAAGATCCCTCCACAGAGCCCGTTGGTCTCATCACCGGAGCCATCGATGATGCCGAAGGCGTGGACAGAGGAGGGCCTCTGTAACTACCAGCCACAGACCAGCTTCCCACAGAGCTAGTCTCACGTGAGACCTGTCCAGTCCCCATCGATGCAAAAGCTGCTGCACCACGACCGATGGCATCAACTGGAGCTCGTCTTCCACTTCCCGAAGACCTTCCAAGTTGCCTCGGCATGTTCCACGCCCGCTCGTTGTCAGGCGTCCACACCAACACATCAGGTTGTATGCGGGTCACACTCGAGGAATTGTGACCATTTTGAGGACTTTCTTCAAGGCGAAAGAAGGTCCACCCCCTCCATTGACCCGTCACTGGGAGCTGTGGCGGAACTTGGCCATGGAACCATTGATCCTCCTGTACGGCTCGTTCCCAGCCTCCATTGAGGCTAATCCACAAGTCATCATTCGCCGCACATGGCGGCTGGTTGAACTCCACAGACTCCCATGGCGTCGGCCCAAGCGACGGTGCCCGAACAGCACACAAGCGCGGAGCAGCCGGGGAGCCCTTAGGGCTACAGTAGAATGAAGTGGGTTCATGATCCCTCACTTCATGTTGCAATGCAGGTTCATTTTCCCTTGCATCACCCTTGACAGGCCTGGGTTCATGTTCCCTCAGACTCTTTTCTTTTTCTTGTGCTGGTCTTGGTTCACTGTTTTCCTTCTTCGTGTTAGCTATAGATGCCAGCCCTTCATGACAACACATCCAAGCCGTCAGAGCCGACAGACTAATAGCTCCAGCGGTTTTCACAAGTTGGCTGGCTCCGTTTTGGAGCACCAATCCTCCAAGTGCAACTACTGCCTCAGCCAGGCGACAAAGCCGTGATGTTTCATCCGGCATGGAAAACTTGATCAAACCTAAGGTCCTACGGAAAGACTCCCAGTTGTTCAGCAGCACCACAGGCTTCGTCAGCAGGTCAGCAGCCAATTCTGCTCCAGGGACATGTTCCACATGCCATTCGCGAGAAGCAAGTCGCTCTCGCAGCACGAAACTCCTCAGCCTCAAGTGGCGAGTGCGCCAAGGGCCATCAGGCGCCAGCAGCAGTTGGATCCCCGACAGGTTGTCACCTCGGATCTCAAACTGGCCATCATCAACCAGGGCGTTGTGCTCCAGGATGTTCAGGATGACTTGCAGCGACTCGCCCATCGTCAGCGCATCCACATAGCCGATGAGTTCGGCCTCTGTACTGCTTAGAGCAGCAAAGGGCTGCCTTTTGCTCTCCCACTGGACCAGAGCGCCACCCCACAATGCCAGTATGCCTTGGCAACCACGAAGTCCTTGTGGAGCGTGTGAAGCATCCGACAGCAGAGTCAGCTTCATCAGCTCATCAGTCGGCTCCCCCTGATCTGTCAAGCAGCTCTTGTAGACCAAGACAAACTCCCAAGTCTCCTGCAGGTAGCCCAGCAAGTAGCGTCCCAGCTCCTGAACTTTCTTGGGGCACTTGGTCACCCAACCAC